GGAAAGGAGAAGGGGAAGGGAATGCCAGGATGTACTCCCTGGAAGGAGACTCCCAATGGGTCTTTGCTGGGGGTATGTATCTCTCTCTGGCTGGTGGGAATCTTTGGGGAGGTCTCAGGGAGGGGTCTCAATAGAATTTCATCAGCTTTCCCAGGTGTGTCCTTTCAGGGTCATGGTCTCCACCGATTGCTCAACGCAGCTGATCCTGAGGCAGCCATGGCATCACTTGTCTGGCTTTTCTGCTTTTCTGGGCCTGGAGCTGAAATACAGCTGAGGCCTAGATGTTATCCCTAGGGAGGAAAAGGTCAGGAGGTCTAAACCACATGACTAGTGACACCGCATCAGTATTCTAGGCAGGAAGGGGAAGGAGTGATGTCTGTTCTCCTTGTGAGAAAAGCAAGACCTTTCCCAAAAGCTTCTTCTAAGCTTCTAGACTCCTTCCAGACTTCCGCTTCGGACTCTTCATCCAGAGCCGTAGCTTATGGGCAAACTGGCTGCAAGGGAGGATGGGAAAGCAAGTATTGAGAGATCTAGCCTGTAGAGTAGCAAGAGTAAAAAGATTGGGAATGAGTGTTAGATGAGCCAACCAATGGTTTCTGCCATAGGGGCTGGTTAAATAGACTATGGAACAACAAAACGATAGAACACTAGGTAGCCAAGATAGTAAGATAGAGTGCCTAAGGAAGAACCCTCCCACACACACACACACCCAACCCCACCACCACCCCTCGGCTGAGATCCAGGCTTGGCCCACTGAACTCCCTGGTGGTGGAACTTGCTAGACATCCACCCTCTGGGCTGGAAAACCACCTGGGAGGATGCTGGGAAAAGTTCTTCACAGAAAAAGGCATTTCACTGGAGGCACTGGGCTATGAAAGCACACAAGGGGGTAGGTGCTGGGGGAAGCTGCTGGCTGCTAGGTGCTGCTGGTCCCCCTGCACAGGAGGAGCCTGGTGCTGGAGAAGCCATGCTCAGACGCTGGGCCTGGGGCAGCCACACATGCCTCAGGGAGCACTGAAGCCAGGAAGGAAAACCTTTCCCTTCCCAGTGTCTCTACAAAAACTTGCCTGAGGAAGCTTAACATCCTGCCAGTGGGCAAAGGAAAAAAATGTAATGGTCCGGATCCATTTTCACAGAGTAGCAAAAAGGATGAATTGGAGCTGAGAGACAATAACCAGCACGCTTTCTCAAAAAGGTTTCATGTGTTAAGATTATAGTTTTCTTCATCTAGTGGTTCCCAAAGCCAGAAGGAGGAGGGGGACTAAAAGTAGGCCTTGAAATTCAGGGGCAATGTATCCAGGGTGAGGCCTAGAAATCTGAGGGTTTAAAAAAAAAAAGTTTATATATTGATTTGAGAGAGAGAAAACATTGATTTGTATTTCCCTTGTTTATGCATTCATTGGTTGATTCTTATATGTGCCCTGACCAGGGATCAAACCTGCAACTTTGGTGTATTGGGACAGTGCTCTAGCCAACTAAGCTACCCAATCAGGGCTAGAAATATGAGGTTTTTTGGTGTGTGTGTGTGTGTGTGTGTGTGTGTGTGTGTGTTTAATTGATTTGAGAGAGGATGGGAGAGAGAGAAAGAGAGAGAGAGAGAGAGATTGATTTGTTCTATATATTTATTCATTGGTTGATTCTTTTTTAAAAATAATAACTTTTAAAAAATATATTTTTATTGAGGAAGAGAGAGGGAGAGAAAGATGGAAACATCCATGATGAGAGAGAATCATCGATTGGCTGCCTCCTGCATGCCCCCCAATGGGGATTGAGCCCGCAACCCCAGCATGTGCCCTGACGTGGAATCCAGCCATAACCTCCTGGTTCATAGGTCGACACTCAACCACTGAGCCATGCCGGTCGGGCAATGGTTGATTCTTGTATGTGCCCTGACTGGGGATTGCACCTGTAACCTTGGCATATCGAGACGGTGCTCTAACCAACTGAGCTGCCCAGCAAGTGCTCAATCTGAGTTTTTATAAGCTCTCCATGCACTCTGTTGGTGGAGGATTCTTTGAAACTATATAGACTGAGCCCCTTTGGCAGAATCCTTGGATATTCCAAGGACAGAACCACCTTGTTAGTGTGTGTGTGTGTGTGTGTGTGTGTGTGTGTGTGTGTGTGTCTGAAGTTCCAAATGTTGGCCTGTTTCTCTGGAAGTGTCCTACAGCACCTGCCTCCATCTGTCTTCACCCATGGCTGTTGTTTCATTTTCCCATCTCTCTTGTGTCTGCCTCTCAGTCTGAATATCTCCACCTCTCAAACCATGCTCACACTTGTCTTCCAAGGTTTGTACTTGCTATTTTGCCTGCCTCCCTCCTTCCCAAATTTCTCATCTCTTTTCATCATGTAGGGCCTCATAATGAGTTACCCCAAGATGAGCCTCTTGGATATGTGGATTATTTTCTGCTAAAGACAACCGAGTCCTGTTACACTCAAGAGAAACTTCTGTGCCCCCACCCCCCACTACCTAGAAGAATTTAAATTAGGGATCTTGCCCATAATAAGATTTATGACCAGAAATAACTTTCTATGACCTATTTATATGTTAGGGCAAACTTCTAATTACTGAACTTCTGCTCTTTTTTCTTTTTTCTTCCCGTTATTCCCATTCTGAGAATGACCTTCCTTGCCTTTGGAAGCCCCAAGTACTTGACCTCATCCTTAGCTCAGAATGTCATAGATTCGTCATTTCCCGTATCTCAGAACGCTCATGGACATGGGGTCTCCGACTCTCTCATGTGTGTGTGTGTGTGGGGGGGGGGGGTTCCCATACATAGATACGTTACTAAATTGGGTCATTTTCTCCCATTAATCTGTCTCATGACAACTTAATTATTAGACCAGCAGAAAGAACCTTGGAAAGTGGAGGGAAGGATCTTCCTCCCAGACCAGATGAAGGTGTCCTCACTCTTCCCTTCGCTCAGCTATCACCTCCTGCGCAGTCTCCCCTCTTCCAGAACCACCTGCTCCCCTCGTGCCCCCACCACGCGCACTCCGTCTGCGTTAGCTTTTCCTGCTCCTATGACACGACTCCGTTCACACTGCAACACCACGCACGCTTCCTTGGCTCCCTACTCGGCTGCGTTTTTTCCACTTCTGCACTGTGGATGCCTAGCCAGCTGGGGACTCATAATAGTGACCGAGCGAACACATGGGAAGGACGGGGTCTGTCCTGGTCCCTAAGGGGCCCTTGCATTCCAGCCCCTAACGCAGCCCTGGGAGGAAGCAAGCTTTCTAAGAAAGGCCAGCAGGCGGCGGCGGCCAGCCCAGGACGCTCGCCGCCTCGCTCAGAAGTGGCGGGTGTCCCGGCCGCGCCCGCCGGAAGGAGGCGGAATGGCCAACCGCGGCCGGGCAGCTCGGGGCCGGGGCAGGGGGCGGGGCCTAACTGCCGGGGGCGGGGCCTGGCCTGCGGGGCGGCTCCCCGGCGCGCACGCCCGGAAACAGCAGCGCCAGCGTTCGGAACCCCGAGAAGCGTCGCCGCCGCCGCCCACCGCCGCCCTCGGTCATGCCGGTAAGTGGCCGCCCGCCCCGGCCCCGCGCAGCCCGCCTCTCCGGCTGGCGCCTCTGCTGCACAGCTGCTTGGCCAGATGTTGCTCCTCCAGGGCTCGGGCGCAGCCGGAGCGAGCGCCCCTCTTTCCAGCCCCCCTCCCCCCGCCAGCCCCTGCCTCGGCTCCGGGAAATTGAATGTGAAAGGGGTTTTATGTGGAAGTCAGGCTGCAAAGCATCTGAACTGCAAGGCCTCCAGCGATTACAAGCCCAGTCCTTCCCTGCAGAGACGGGGAAAGAGAGCAGCCCGAGCTCACCCGGGAGTGGGTGGCGAGCCGGACCTGGTCCCGGTCCGGGTCCCGGTCTCTGTGCCCCCCACCTGGACACGCCAGTCCGGGGAGCTGGCTGGGAAACAGGGGCGGGCGGGGTGGCCATTGCCTTTCGGACGCGGCAGGTTTTCAAAGGTCCGTGTTTTTCTTCCCTTCCCTGTCCACTCTGTACAGGGAGACACTGAATGGATCCAGTACTTTTACCACTTTCTGAACTTGAACCCATGAGCCCCAGAGAGGTTCGGGGACCTGCCCAAAGTCTCCAGTTGCTCAGTGGCAGAGTTGGGAAGGAATGAGCAGGTCTTCGTTGGTCTGTGCAGCTCACTCAGCCTTTCCGCATATTTCAGGTTGCTCCTGGCCTCATTTTGTAGATAAGAAATTAAGATCATGCCCTGGCCGGTGTGTCTCAGTGGGTTGGGCGACTCCCTGGCACCAAAAGATTGCCGGTTCCATTACTGATCAGGGCACATGCAGTCGCGGGCTTATCCCTGGTAGGGGGCTTGCAGGAGGCAGCCGATTGACATATTGCTCTCATATTGATGTTTCTCTCTCTCTCCCTCTCCCTTCCTCTCTCTAAAAATCAATTTTTAAAACTTAAAAAAAAAAAAAGAAATTAAGGCCTTTTGGCTCACTTTCCCTCTCGGGAGCACACTCCCTGCCTTTCCCCCCAGGCCCCCTACCTTTCTCTCCTAAGCTCCAAGGGCCCTTCTTTTGCTTCTGTAACTTGTTTCAGAAGCCCAGCTGGCTCACTTCTACTACCTCTGTAACTTTCTAAATAAACTTTCTCTTATAATTTGGAAAAAAAAAAGAAAAGAAATTAAGGCCTTTTGCAAATACAAAAAACAAAACACCAAAGCCCGTAACTTACTCAAGGTCTTGGGAGTCAGATGGAGCCAGCATTAATCCCCTTATCTTCAGACTCCCAGTCTCTTCTGGCCTGGCCATGCGCCGACAGAAGTAGTCACGCTGGCCAGGGAGGAAGCTTCGATCCCAGTTGCATCCTAGGGATCCTGGTTGGGTCATGTGGTGTTCAGCACTTCCCCCCATGGTGCCTAGTTCTCAGCTCTGCCCCCAGCGAGCACTCAGAGGTGTCTCACAGATGGCCTGTGTCTTAGCAGCCGAGCTTTGGGGAAGAGGCAGGTGAGCCAGAGGCCCCCTGGGCCCAGCCACAAACATCTCAGGTGTCATTTCCCTTGGGTCTTGGCAGGTGCCTTGAGACAAATCCTCAGACAACACAAAGTATGGACTAAGAGCCTGACAGGATCAGCCCTCCCAGTTGAGCAAATGTTAGCGGACAGCACTAATCACCCTGGGACCAGGATCGTGGAGGCCACCAGGTTTCTGAGGGGCGTGGCAGTGAGAGGAAGGCCAGCCGGGGAATCACTATTCTGTGTTCACTTCTGGGGATTTTGACAAACAAAAGACCCTTCAGAGGTTTGACCGGTATGGAGGGCACTTGGTTCCATGTCACGAGATGAACAGCTGAAGGAAGGAGGCGGAGGACTGTCACCCGAGAGGTTTCCCAAGCACTTGGGATCTCAGAAACCTTTCTGAAAATCTGTGCTTCTGCTTGCCAATCAGATGACCTCAGTTAAGCTGCTTTACTTCTCTGCGCCTTGATTTCCTCATCTGTAAAATGGGAATAAAAACTGACCTCCCAGGCCCTAGCTGGTTTGGCTCAGTAGATAGAGCGTCAGCCTGCAGACTGAAGGGTCCCGGGTTCTATTCCAGTCAAAGGCACATGCCCAGGTTGATCCCCAGTGGGGGTTGTGCAGGAGACAGCCGATCAATGATTCTCTCTCATCATTGATGTTTCTATCTCTCTCCCTCTCCTTCCTCTCTGAAATCAATCAAAATATATTTTTAAAAGAACACACACAAAACAAACAAAAAAAACTGACCTCTCAGGAGAGTTGTTAGTGTTAACTGGAAAAATGCCACTAAAATGGTTGGCACAGCCACTGACATAGCTAGTCCACAAGAAATGGTAGCTCGTGTGTAGATTTGGGACAAGTAGGGTAGAACTACAGGCAGGCAGATTTCAAACCCCATTTTAACACAAGGACCACAGGGGTTAAGTTTAGGGTTTGGAGACTATGTCCGGTGGGTGTAGGCCCTGCTACTCATTAGCTATGTCACACTGAGTGAGTGGCCAAACTTCTGAACTTCAATTTTCTTATTTGTCAGAAAGGGATAATTATAGTGATTAACTCATGGGATTCTTGTGATGATTAAACGGTGTAATTCCCGGAAGGTGCTTAGAACGATGTTTGGCACAGAGGAGGCACTCAAGTATTACCAGTAGTAAGCTCCCAGGATTTGGGGTGTTCAAAGACTGTCTTGGAGAGTTGAGAAAGAATTCCTTCTGGGAGGGGAGCTGGACAATGTGACCCCACTCTCGTCCCGCCTTCCCAGTTCTGAGATTCTGTGAAAGAGTTGTACAACTTACTGGATTTTTTTCATCGACTTTAAAGGACCCACTTTCAGGTGACAGATCAGAGGCTTTGAGGGGCTGGAGCTGCGCAAAGTCAAGCGTTCAGTGGTGGGCCAGTCTTGGGATTCTCTGTGAAGAATGGCATATGCTGCCCGTTAGATTTTTCACCACCCCCAAATTTACTTTTGCACTTCACAATGGAGGGGGAGAACACTGGGTTGTCATGTTTGCCACCCAGAAGCCTCCTGCTGGCTTCTGGCTGCTGCACTGTGAAGATGAAAGGAGACCTGTCTGTGGTCTGCAGAAGAAAGCTTCAGATATCTGGTGATTTAGACCCTTGGGCAGCAGAAACTCATGCTACCTCACAAGGTGTGCCCACTCCCAGAGCTCCTGCTAAGAGTCAGGGTTGCAGGGGGAGGGTGTGGGGGGGGTGTGGGCGGGGGGAGAGTGGTAGGTAGCAGTGCTGATTGCTGGTCCAGAACCAACGGGATGTCCCTGGAGCCAGGAAAGCCTGGGTTCACATCCCAGCCTCAGCACATGCTTGCCACGTGACTGTGGGCCAGCGGTTCTCATCCTGTGGGTCGCCTAAGACCATCGGAAAACACATATATAATTACATATTGTGCCTGGAGCCGGTCCATCCTTGCTGCTTGACACAGTCGCAGGGAAGAAACATCTGCACAGCATATGTTTCAAAGGATCTGGCGTATATGGCATACTGTTCTTAATATGTTTGCTCCCCTTCTTGGCGCTATGTGTTTTAACCAAGGTCACCTCTCCGAGAAAGGTTGTTTCCCCAGGTAGGGATTTTCCCCTGAAGTTAGGGAGGGGATAAAAGCCCTTAACTAAGTGCCAGGTGGGTAGTTAATCACTTTAACTATGAACAGTCATGCCTAAGCTACATAATCTTTACTGCCTGGAATGGAGAAGAAACATCCTAGCCTTTGGAATAGAAATTGATAGGATTAAAATAAACTGGTATAAATACAGATGTAACAAGACAACAGAACACAGAACCTAGAGAGAGAATCTAGGGAGAGAACATGGCAAAAGATCCTGGACAGAACCTGGCTACAGAACTTGGCTGGAGAACCTAGACAGAACATGGCAGGAGAACCTGGATAGAACCTGGCTGGAGAATCTGGCTGGAGAACCTAGAGAGAGAACATGGCAACAGAACCTGGCGACCAGAACTTGGCTGGAGATCCTAGCCAGAACTTGGCTGGAGATCCTAACCAGAACTTGGCTAGAGATCCTGGCTAGGCTGCTGATCAACTGAACGCTGTCTCCGTGTCATTCCTTCATCGCCGACTCCGTCCATACCTTTGGGGATCCCTGGACCCACTGGGGTTGGACCCCAACAATATTGTTTTTGTGATTAATCACTATGCTTTAATTATGTTCAATTTGTAACAATGAAATTGGGGGTCACCACAACATGAGGAACTGTATTAAAAGGTCGCGGCATTAGGAAGGTTGAGAACCACTGCTGTGGGCAGTCTAACCCCTGGGAACCTCCGTTTCCTCCTGAGTAAAATAAGGTGACCAGCTGCCTTTCCAGGCAAAGATCACAACTTGCTTTATTGCGACACCCGCCATACTGTGGTGGTCTGGAGTCAAACTTGCAATATCTCCGAGCTGTGCCTGTGTTGGGGATGCAGCAGTGAAGTGGACGAAGTCTCTGTCTTCTGGGAGCTCAGTGTGTTGGATATCGTGGAGACTGTGGGTGTCGGGCCTGCATGCAGCAGCCAGGAGCCGGGGTTCCCTCCTTGGTCTGCCCTCCGACTCACTCGGAGCCCGTGCAAATCCACTCCCCAGGCTTTAGGGGCTGCCTCTGAGAATGAGGCATTTGGATGAGAGCAGTGGTCACTGTATATCAGAATCACCAGGGGAGCTTCCTAGCCCTTGTAGACACCCCAGCCTACACTTGCTGATTAGAACCTACAGTCTTTGCAAGCTCCCTGGTGATTCTAATGCAGGTGATCTTCGATGCATAAATAAGACCACCAGACCAGCATGGCTCCGAGGATGGGCGTCCACCCATGTCAGAGTCGATGGTCCTGAGATGGCCCCCTAGTTCAAGAAACAGGATTTTAAAGGTGAGACTAGAAACCAACACTTTTTAAAAATATATTTTTTTTATTGATTTCAGAGAGGAAGAGAGGGAGAGATAGAAACATCAATGATGAAGAGAGAACCATTGATCAGCTGCCTCCTGCACGCCCCCTACTGGGGATCAAGCCTGCAACTGGGACATGTGCCCTTGATTGGAATTGAACCCAGGACCCTTCAGTCTGCAGGCCAACACTCTATCCTCTGAGCCAAACCAGCTCGGGCAGAATCTGACACTTTAAACTGGCTTCCCAGCTGATTGAACTCATTGAGTGCCAGGCACTGCTAAAGGAGTTGGAGGGATTATCTCACTCAGTGCAGCAGCCTGTGAGATACAGAAATCCTTAGTTACTCCATTTTGAAGAGTGGGGGGCCCAGAAACAGGCGACGGGTGAGTCTGACGACAGCCAGACCTTGCCCCGTGTCTTGGCCCGTGAATGGGCCTGCATGCTGGTGGGGTATGTGGGTCTCCCTGCAGGTCTTGGCTCATGGTCCCCTTTGTTTATTTCAGAAGCACGAGTTCTTTGTAGACATGACTTGTGAAGGCTGCTCTAATGCAGTCGCTCGGGTCCTCAACAAGCTAGGAGGTGAGTGAGCGGCCCTCGGTTGGGGGTGAGGTGGGGGAGGCCGATAAACTTCATATTGTGTTCAAATGCATGCAGACATGGAGCAGGAGAAGCTGGGGTTGAAGCTGATAATAACAGTACAACTAAGATGTACTGAGTGCTTAGCATGTGCCAGGTACTCTGCTTACTGGCTTTCATTTCATCCTCACCACCATTTAAGGAGCTTCTTTTTTTATTTGGTTAATCCTCACCCAAGGATATTTTTCCATTGATTTTTTAGAGAAAGTGGAAGGGAGGGGGGAGAGACGAGAAGAGAGAGAAACACATGGATTAGTTGACTCTTGCATGGAGATCAGCCTGCAACC